CATATTATAAATATTTTTTTATAATTTATGCTAAAAATTTATAATTTATGCTAAAAATGGCATGTTGAATGGATATTTTTAATCTGATTATAGTGTGATGAAAATTTCACGAGATTTTCATAAAGCTAGCAGATAGCTTATTTTTTAAAAAATAAGTTATTTGCTAACTTCGTGAAAAATCTGCAAAATGTCCTTAAATTAAAATTCTCCATGAACCGTTTCATATTAATACTTTCCTTTCATCCACCATTCAATTTTAAACTTATCATTGTTCTCAAGTTAAATGTTAAAAAATTATTGAAAATATTTCTGTTGAATTTAGCTTTCAATTATTTTTCTCACTTTAATTTTATTATTTCCATATTTGATCATCAAAAGTACATTGTATCATTACAATTTACTTTTGAACTTAAAATGTTCATTGTATTGTAATATGACAGACATAAATTTCATATCACTCCAGTCGATGTTTGTGAAAAAATTACTTTCTGATTTAAATTTTTAAAAAATATTTATGACCGCTCCGATTGCATTTCTACTTTGTGCTCATTCAGGCCTTTTGTATTGAAATAAAATGGAATGATTTTTTAACGAATTGTGGCTGATTCAGTTAAAATGTAGCATATTAAATTTGCTTATCAGTTTTTCTATCGTTTTTCTCACTGAACTGAAATTTATTTATTTTTTGCTTTAATATCGTAAAATATGAATTAATCTATTGGGAGAAGTTTTGAAAAGAAGAGGAATGTATCTCGCAAAACATTTCGTATGTTTCTCACACAAAATTTAATTATTTGAGGAAATTTGTTAGTTTGCTTGTCGTTTCTAATATGAATATAGTCGCATTAAAAATCGCACGTCATTTTTTGAAAAAAAATTAAACGAAATTTGCACTAGAATTAAAAATAAAGTGAAGAGTTCACTATAAAATTAATTCGATTAAAATACGAACATCATTTGATAATTTTATTTCATTACAAATAAGTCAGTCAACTGCAACTGTTAATTTAATTCTGATTTAAATGTTCATTTAATAGCGACAATAACACAGACATTTCTGGTAGATATTTCATTTAATTTTAAAAACAGTACCTTTTCAACTCACAATTACTAGTTCGCCATGTTTTGTAATACGAATACAAAAAACTGATTATGCACAGTTCACTGATACTTACGATCGCTAAACATATCGAGAGCTATTTCCGCTCCGCTAGTTAAATATAACATCGAGAGTGAATAATTTTGATTAATTCTCTAAAACTTTAAATTTTTTTGCATATTAAAAAATAACTGGAAGTAAGAGCAAAAAGCGTAAAATTAATCTATCAAATATAATTCTAATACTTTTTTTAATTCTGAATTGATCAATCAGAATAGAAAATCATTTTGCATGATTGTTAGAAATTTCGAACTTAAAATTGAAATTTTGCAGTAAAACAGTGTAATTGAATTTTAATTCTTCAGATTTATCAGCAATAAATGAAATGCTACGAATGCTTATTGAAATAGCACATTTTGTTGCAAAAGCAATTTTATCAACAGAAATGATTATGTTTATATTAATCATTCAGTGTTGTTCAACTAAAAAACGTAATTTTATCATTCATAACTAAAAGAATAATATAATTAATCATCAAATGTAAAGAATTTGAAATTATATCGATTTTTCCATAATTTTGAATCAATCTTTTATTTTTTTTAATGTTTAACCTCTTCCAATCATTTTTCTCTTCGGGCGTTAACAATTGTCAAAATGGAACGCAACGAACGAGAAAATATAGATTAGAATCTCAAGTTCAAAAAGAAGCAGCTTGTAAGTTAATGCTTAACTGTTCCCTGGAAATATATTTTGTAATAATTATTTTTTGATGATTATAAAAAAGACGAAAAGTGAAAAAAAAATTTTGTTTTAAAATCATTCCTACTCGAAAAGTGAATTAGAAGTAATAAAATTTTACTGTGGCAATATCCTTCACACTTTTGTTTTAGATTAAACGAAATTATTGTTTTAGAAAGGCACTGTTTTTTTAATTAGGAATTTTTTAAAATTAATTTTTAAAATTCTAGCTCTTCAGAAAATGATAAGAGGAGATTTGAAAGTTAAAAATCTTGCTGTCAATAACACTGTAAGTGTTTTTTTTATTTTAATTCTTGCTTTTTTTATTTTTAATTCTATTTAAAATGTTCAACGAAACCTTTACGCAAACAGAAATTTAGAAATTACAGGAAAGAATTCAAAAAAATAAAATAGGGCTGACGAAAATAGTTTTTCTTGGGAAAATTAAATGTTTTTGTTTATTTCATGTTTTGAAAAAATCAAAAAAAACGATGATAAATTGCAGAAAAAACAACAAGCAAATTTCAAACAAATACTTCCATCGGCGCAGGTATTTTCAATATTATCTTCACAAATTTAGCTCACCAATTCTGTTAAGTCATCTTAAAATTCCATGTAATTTAAAAAAAAAGGATTGTACTTTTACCTCTTTGAAAAAACTTCATAATATCTTTCTTCAACATAAAGTAATATTAGAAGAAATCAAATTTTGCTACTTTTCTCAGCACTTAGGCGTGCATATAAAAGTGATGAATTGGAGCTGGAAATAACCTCTGATTGAGGAAAAAACATTCACAAGGTCAAACTGAAAGATTATATGACCTTTAATGACACCCTAACGTGGTCATTTTGTAATTATACACAAAAAACAACAAAACTGATGCATGAAAGTAAGACAAAACGAAATTTTAAAAAGGCAGAAGTAAAAGTAGATTTGACGACTTCGATGATTTTGATACTTTAAATTTCAAATTACTTAATCGATTACAATGGATATAATAGATAATTCACAAAGTAAACACTACTAGCATCACTCTCAGGACAATTGCGTATGAAAAATTGATGAAAAAGTCAATTTTCAAAAATTGCGTGGAATTTTTTTACGAAAAAAATGAACGATTTAGTAAACTTTTTTGATTCAGGTTTGAAGTCAAAAAAATCTATTCCCTTTTAACCTTTGAACAAGATTGAAAGAAACTGAGGGTGAAAAATGAATGGAAGCAAAAAAGAAACGGAGCTAAGCAAACTAAACAAATATCTGTCAATTTTTTTTATTTCGGCAATAAAATTCGTAAATTACCAAAGATAGAATATTCAGGGAAAAGATGACTCAATGGCAGAAATAATACACGAAGATAAGACGACCAAAAATGAGGATAAAGTGGGACTTAAAATAAATAGCCTAGTGCTAATGCAGCCTGAACAGAAGCCAAAAATAGATGATTCATTGCGGACGAAATCTAAACAGTTTGGCACAAAGAAATCTTACAGTTATAGTGGTGTGAACAAAACATTAAAATGCGGCGATTCGGAACAAAAATGCACAAAGCATTCTGAATCCATTTCAGTTTTATTTCAAATACCGCTAAAAGAATCCGATGAATTAGAAGCGAAAAATGTTCAACAACTCTTGGATGTAGAGCGTACTCCTAATGAGTCTGAATCTGTTCAAGTAATGATCATATCTGATGAACAGCAAAAAGCGGCAAATCATCGGGAAGCTTTATTGGAGGAAATTAAAGCAAAAGAAGGTGATTCAGAAGAGACATCTGAAATCGACAAATCAGAAACTGGCGTTGAGGAAAAAAGTCTTTTATAAAATGTTTCCAATTGTTATATTAAAAAATGAAAAAATTTATCAATTATAGAATAAATATTTGAACTTTGAGAACAATCAGAGTGCACGATTATCGTTTAAAAAGAGAAAACGAAATTTTGTCACTTTTATCATTATCAGCAAATATTACAATTCTATCATTTTTATGTAAATAAATCCTTTGAAAAGTTTTTTTTGTGTCGTTTTAAATAAAATATATGTTTATTTTAAACAGAAGCATATGTAACATTTCAAATAGTTACAACTTTTCAACTTTTTCACTTATCAAACTATTATTTACATTACTTCTTCAGTTTACAGGCAAAAATTTTTGTCATTAAGAATGCAAATGGTATAATTTATTTTATCACTAGAAATTTCAAATTTCGAAAATTTTATTTCATTAAAAATAATAACGTCTTTTTTTCTTCTGCATTTCTAAGGAGGATGCTAAAAAATCCATATAAAAGTCTTTCTCGAGAATTGTCACGAAAATATATTCTTGATGATGGGAACTGGAAAGAAGTCAAAAAATCCCAAATTTCATTTTCTGTAATGCAAGAAATAACGAAAGCCTATTTAGTGCAAGGAAAATGAAAAAAAAAAATTATGAAAAATATTTATGAAAAAATATCCTTAAGAGATAATTTTAGTTAAGGCAAATTTTTCTGAAACGAAGTTTCTGTTAGCTTAAATTTTTTCGTTTAATATCCCATATTGCTATCAGGAAGTGATTAAACGTATTTTTTCTTATCAAATAGCCCTTTCAATGCTTACAAATTAACACTTCATGAGGAGAACCGACAAATTCGTTCAGAAATGAATGAAATAAATGAAATAAAAAGTTGGAGCATTGAAACATTTCAAACAAGTTGATTTCAATATGCAAAAATTTTTTAAAAATTAATATACAAATTTTAGATAAAATGATATGAATTAAAAAATTCTTTTCAGAATTCAATATCATCTCAATTCATTTTTCAGTGCCTGAGTAAGTGGGTTGGTGTGCTGGCTATTTATTTTCCATTTTAAGGGATTAAAAGAAGGGACAGGAGGGTTTTAAATTGTCAATTTTCCATTTTCATCCCTCTCAGAGATTGTAATTTTACATTCGAAAAATGGATCGATTGAAATCTGAACAACAGTGCTATTGAAATTTCACAATTTTTATAAAATCTTTTAAGCACTTTTTATTTTTTTATCAAAAAAAACAAAAATTGTTCCTTCTTTGTTTTAATTGCTGTATAGAGAAAACTAAAACCTTAGAAAATTTCCAAAATATATTGTCATAACAGTGCAAACAGTGAGAAATGTAGCTTAGATTGACCATTGCTAATCTAAATTATATTTTTAAATTAGAGTTTAGAAAATTTTAATTTCATCGCATACTATGAAACAATTGATGTTATATTCTTATTTTAACGAATACATTCTATAGCAGTTTTAATTTATGTACATTTTTCTGACTAAAAATATAATTAAAACAAGTGAAACAAGAAAAATAAACGTTAAATTTATAGTAGAATAAAATCGGACTGGGCTGACATTACCAAATTCTGAAAATTGTTAGCCAGGAAACTGTTATCACTTTCATAAGTAAAGATGTTATGTATTGTAACAGATGCTTACAAAAACTTGGGTGATAACCGGTAGATTACAAATGAATTGCTGATTTTATTCAATTGAGAATTCGAACGTCAATCTGAGCCCATATTCAACGTTTATTCGATCACTTCGATTTTCTTTAAATCTATTATCCTAAATATCAGATATAATAGAATCTAACATTTAACATTATTTCTTTGGCAATAATCTTAACTTACACTTCTCTTATGATAAAATGAAATTTCATTAAACATGTAAATTGAAGATTATGAATTTGATTACAATCGTGGGAATCGCAGTATTACTCTGCCAACCATTGGTACGATGTTATCATTGCGATTGGAATTTGCTGAAAGTCGTTAGTTTTTAATTTTGTTGATCCTATTAATTAGTGGTATTGTCCTTTTTGGACTTCTTTAACAATAAAAGCTCTAGAACGGCTTTATTATTATTATTGTTA